GTACAATTTGCTTATCCTCCATGTGTAAGCTGGAATTTCCTAGCTATGTGCCATTTGGTAATATAGAGAGGTGGAAAGATACCTATAAAGTCATACAATCTTAAATACTAACTTCCCTATTTATTAATTTTATGGCTTTAGATCAATTATTTCACTTTTCTCTTTTTTATTGGTTCTTTTTAGTTTTACATGACAATAGAATATACTTTGTTCTAAGCATGAAATATAATTTATTCTAATCAGTCCCCTTCCCCTCCTTTCCTCCTACCCCCAATTCCATTCCCTATACTCAAGTGATCTTTCTGTTCTTTACTTATAGTTTTTTTTTATTAGTGTCTTGTGGATATACTTGATGGTGAGATTTACTGTGGTATGATCATATATGTACCTTTCTAAGTCTCAGTCACTTGCTCCATAAAATGGGTATACTAAAACCTAATTGAGCCAGGCACAGTGGGATATACCTACAAACTCAGTGGTTCAGGAGGCTGAGGCAGGAGAATCGTAAGTTCAAAGCTAGCCTCAGCAACTTACTGAAGCCCTAAGCAACTTAGAAAACTCTGTCTCAAAATAAAAACTAAAAAGGGCTGGGGATGTGGCTCAGTGGTCAATCATCCCTGGGTTAATTTCCCAGTATCAAAAAAATGAAATGAAATAAAATAAACCTAACTGAATTATTCTGAAGTTAGATTACATCAAGGATGTTAAGAGCTTAGTCTGGTGCCTGATAAAAAGTGAGGAACTCAATAAATCACAGGTAATATTATTATGAGTTATCAATTTAAAAAGAAGAGTCAAGAATATAAACTATATAAGATCACATATAATCTTTGTACATTTATAAAATTCCCAAGTACTATAAAAGGAATATGTGTGTGTGTGTACACACATATAGATATATATACACACATATTACACATATATCTCATATAGATACATACACACATATATCATATACACACATACACATGTATGTATGTATATCTATGTATGCATGTACATATATACATATATGTATATATTTATGTGTGTGTATATATTTTATATATATATAAAAGCATGGTTTATATAAACCATGCTTTTCCAATTTGTCTTAGCAAACATTACTGAACACTCAATACAAATAAAATGCTATACTACATATATTTAAAGGCAAAGATTATGAAACCCTTAGTAACTCCAACAAATATTTTCTAAGAACCTTATTTGTCGCAGAAACTATGATGATTGTTCAAGACAAACAGAGAACTTTGCTCTCATAGAGCTTACAATCTGGAGGCAAAGGAAAGAATTTAATCAAATAGTCACAATCATGATTATAAACAGAGATAGATGATGTTGAGAAAAGGGGGCATAAAACAAAATATTAATGAGACTAGAAGTAGAGAACAGATCCCTGCCCTTCAAATGTTTATAAAAATGATATTTCACAAATAAACTGTATTAACGAGGGCATCAAAATGAGTAAAGAGAAGAAATGCAAAAGAACCCAGCATATAAAATTAACAGAGACATCATTCTAACATTTCTCATTACTTCTACCTTTCCCATTCAAGAATAATCCAAACAAAATGAAATAACTATTAAAGTAAACTTGCTCAAATTTTAGATCTTGAAAGTCACCTGAGCTTTGAAACACTGAAGTGTTCCTTTTAACAACATGAGAGATTTACTGTTAATTCATTTTATAAATTAAATCTATATTCAACATAATACTTTACTGATTAACAATAAGTCTTCTTAAAGGAAGATTCTGTATTTCTTCTCATAACAGAACAAATGGACTCTAATACAACTCTTAAGAAAACACAGCACTTGAGGGTATAAAAGTCAATGTCATAAAAAGAAACATTTACTACAAAAATTTTTCACTCTACCCTTTTTTAAAAAATTGTTTTGTCAGCTATAAATATGCAAGTGACCCAAGGACAGGTCAAATGAGGATTTTATTTTGACAAGCACTTCTGAGGGCATTTTCACCTCTGATGTGACTTGGAATTCCACCAGAATAAAGAGCAAGGATACCTCTGCTGTACTAAACTTTCAACTCTAAATTGCCATGTAGAAATGTATTGGTATTTCCACGTATTTAAAAATTATTACATGCTTTGATTTAAAATAATTACAAATAGTGTCATGTTTTACTTCTTTCCTAGCTATTAATTCTTATACCTCTCCTGAAATTTTATCTGAGATTTATAGTGTTGGGGAAATACATTTTTCTTACATGGTTTCTTAGTTGGAATAAAAAATAAACAGTATCTCATTTATTCTTAAAGTTTTTTATTTAGATTTTGTCAGAATAAAAGAAATTTCTAATAAATGTTATATATCACTGCAATTTTCTTAATCTGCTTTTAAAGTCCTTTATATATGTTTAGTCATCATCAGCTATAGCAATTACACAATACAGAAAATACTTCCAATTTCAGAAGCCAGCATACCTGCGATTTAATCTCCCTTCTGCCTTTTTAATCTGGGGTAGATAATTTTAAATTCTTTTATATTTATTTTTTGTTGTAGTTGGACACAATACCTTTTTATTTATTTATTTTTATGTGGTGCTGAGAATCGATTATTTTATGTGGTGCTCAGGGTCTCACATATGTGAGGTGAGGGTTCTACCGCTGAGCCACCCCCAGCAGGATAATTTTAAATTCTCTGGGCTTCATTTTTTTTCTTATACATAGGCACCATATTTTCTACCAATTAGTATTTAGTATTAAATGATTTTATATTTATATTTTAAAAACATATAGAATTCAGTACCTGATATATGATAAATACTAATAATTGCTAGCTCTGATATTTTATATTTAAATCTCTGATTAAATGAGATGATGTGATAGGCACAAACTAATTTTGTCTGCAGTTCTTTGTAAATTGCACATTATTTTGGAAAATATAAATTATGTCCATACAAATAAATGTATCCATGAAATAAATGAGTACAAAGAAAATAAGAAAACGAAACAAGTAACAGATAGTCTCTAAAATTTTACTGCATTTTTCTGGTTCAGGCTAGAGGGTTATACTAAAACACTTGTTGCCAAAATTGCTAGATTAAAATGTAGGAAAATGTTATGGCTCTTGATATGAACTGCTGATTTGTTTTCTGTAACCATTGTATCAATTTACAAGGCCATAAAATGATACATTTAAAATAAAGACTACTGCTAATAAATAGTACCATCTCAAGATTGCTTTCATTTATACTTCTTTTGTCAATTTGACTTCAAATGACAATACATGTGTGGAATATTAAGAATAGGATTGCAGCATAATAGGACTGTAGATATGAGTACAGTTTTTCTATAATATATCATCAGTGAGGATGAATTCAGTAAAACCAACAACAAAATCTAGAAGAGCCAAAGTCATCTTTGAAATGTGACACACTACTAAAACCCTTGCAGATGTGACACCATAGGAAATCCATGCCAGTGTTCCAAACATGTTCTAACCTTTTATACTGATGCTATAAAGCAATAAGAGACATCTTTTCATTATCTGCAAAATTAAAATATGAACACTCTGTAACATATAGGAACTATCTGGGGTTGGGACTTCAGAATTTAAAACCAGTAAGCCAAGTGTGAATTTTGCAAAGAATTAGAACAGCATGGCAGCAGCCATTTCCAGGAGCACATGATAATTCACTGCAGCAAGCTGCAAAAAGCATGTGGATTCTGAAATTCAGAGTCTGACCAACACTCCCCAAATTTCTGTGTGACTTTTCTATTGTAAGGGTGGCTTCTACTTTAAAGACTATAGCACAATGTAAAAAGGGTATAAATCTAGAATACACAAAGTTTTAAATTTCTTATCAAAAAAACACATAAAGATTAAAAACTTAGAGGAAAAAAATTATACTGGTATGCAAAAACACAATAGAAATTAAGGTCAGTATTGAGAAAACTAATAGCTTTTGTTCTACTTTTTATTAGCTGTGATACCTTGGTCATGTTACTAAACCTCCTGAGGCTAAGTTTTCTGAGTTAGATGGAGATAACAATTCATTCCTCACAGAATTATTATAAAGCTAAAATGCATATACCTAATATAATTACAAACAAAAATAAAGGCTTATTAAATTGTAGTTATCACTAAAGAAAGTGAAGGAAAACAACAACTAAAAACAGTAGAACTAACCTAATCTTTGAGATTGAAATAATGTTGCCAATTATAGTAGAATACAAAGTTGTTATATTATAAAATTTAAAATATAACACTAACTGAAGTACAGCAAACTAAACTGACTTCTGCTGTATTAAATTGTGGTTTAAGAACAATGTTTATTCTTAGCTGAGGTAGGGTCTGGTTTCTTCTAATCCAGTGACATAGCCATCACCCATGGGTGATGTATGAGCAGCTACTGTTTTTCTATCCCTGTCAACTAAGCTCATCTGTATGGAACAAAAGGTTCAAGTACATAAAATTCAATTTCAAAAAGAGAACCCAACTGAAATATCACCCTATCTATACAGTATTAAACAGCCAATGTAATGTAACTTAGAATCTAAAGCTTGTCCTTTCCTTGAATTCTACATCTCAGCTATAAAAACACAATATGTTTATAATGTCTGTTTTCATAATTGTGAAATATCTTTTATTTAGAATACAGAAAGGAGAAGACTCATGGGCATGACTAATGCATTTTCTTATGTATGAACACTTAAAATATTGTTGCTTTCCTGATTATAAATTTTACTCTTAGAGAAAAATGAAATTACTACTGACTAACATGCCTGTGGCAAGTCAATCTTGATGAAAGAATATGCAAATGAAGCTCTATAACCAAATAGAAATTTGCACAGAAAAATGTCCAGTAGAGAATACAACAGACACTGGTATTGTTATATGTATAAACGTGGCTGTGTAACCAATGTGATCCTGCAATCTGTACATGTGGAAAAATGAGAATTCAGACCCCATTTGAATCAAATGTATGATATGTCAAGATCATTGTATTGTCTTGAGCAACTAATAAAAAAGAAAGAAAAAAGAAAAATATCCAGTAGAGTGCTCAACTTGGGGAAAAGTAATCAATAACATTTCAATGGTTTTCCATTACTCATTCAGGATAATAAATTTTGTAAAAATAAATAGTAAAATTGTTTCTAGGCATAGGGACAAGCTGCCACATAGGTTTGCCTGAGAGTTGGTACCAGGTTAGATACATGCTTGCGCCCTCTCTCCCCTCACCCCTCTCCTCTACCTTACTGGCTTCTACTTCTCTGCTGAAAATTCTTATCCTCCAAATGTTGGAGTGCCCAAGTTCTCATTCTCTAGCACATGCCCCCTAGGCAATCTCAATTCTTCCTTTCTCTAGTTTCAAACATCTGCACAAATGATCCTCAAATACATCTCTCTAGCTTCTTTCTAAATGGATGTTTATTTAACACTCTGAACTTAACCCATCCCAAATCTGCTCCTCCTCAGACCTTCCTCCTGTCTCCCTACTACATTCTACAAACAATCCACCAGGAAATCCTACTTTCAAATCCAACCACTTAACCATTACTGCTTTTAGGCTAAGCTACCCTCTTCTCAACTCTGAATTACTGCATTAACACCTTAATTGTTTTCCCTACTTTCCATTTCTGGCTCCCTACAGTCAGCTTTTTCCACATAGTAGCCAAAGGGAATTCTTTTAAAACATAAAATCACATCATGTCACTTCCCTACTCAAACCTTCCAGAATCTTTCTTCTTATCATCCTTCATATAAAATCTAAACTCCTCGCCTGGCCAAAAAGACACTTACATAGTCTGCTGCCTAGCTACCCTTCCATTTCCATTCATTCAGAGTACACTTCACTGGCCCTCTTATTGCTTTTGCAAATAAGCCAGGGATACTCCTATACCTGCACATAGTGTTTGCTCTACCTGCAATGCTCCTGCCCTAAATCTTGTTGAAGTTCACTCTCTTATTATATCAAGACCTCTGGTTTAAAGACTTCTTCCCTGGCCATCCTATTTAAAAAAAAAAAAAGTTTCTCCAATTGGTTTCTACAATTTTTACCTTTTTATTTTCTTCTTATCGCCAAACCCTATCTGAAATTATTTTTTATTTGTATTTATTACTACTTAGCTCCTTTACTAGAATGTAAGCTCAATGAAGAACCAGCCTTCTATATTCCTTGTTTACTTTTCAAGTCTGATGCAGGGTAGGAATTCAAATATTTGTTGAATGCATTTTATAAGTCCTATTAAAGGGTTAATGAAAGCATGAGGTTTGAAATTTCAAGTAAAATTATAAACTTAAAACAGTATAATCGGAAGCATATAGCCATGCATCATTTAAAGATCAGAACATGTTCTGCCAATGCATCATTATGTAATGTAATTTTTTTGTGTGAACATCATAGAATGTACTGACACAAACTATATTCTACAAACAATCTACATCATTAGGCAATAAGAATTTATGGTACCACAGTCATCTATGCAGTCTGTCCTTGTCCAAAACATGATTATGTAGCCCATGATTGTATTCTCTAGGACATTCAAACATTCATGCATGTATAACTTTGTCTCCTAATTTGTATTTATGAATTGCAGTCTTCAAGATTTTATCATTTAAAATAATTTTAGAATCTTTTCCTTAAAAAATTGTGCTAATACATAAAATACTTTTATTTCATTGAACTTTATTTTCTTAGTTATTCTTGTAAAATACCAGATGAAAGAGTCATTTTTTTGCATTTCAAATATAATTAGTTTACATCTACATAAAACTTTAACAATAAATGTTTTAAAAATATTTCTTCAAAGCAATTTCTCCTACTGTATTCTTGATCAACAACAGCCAAAACCAAGAACTAATAATTATAATTGTCCATCCCCAAGTAGAGGATGGACAGAAGCAACTTTGTTTCAATGCTTAAAAGGTAGAAGCTTGAAGACTCATGGCTTACATGGCTTATAATAAAAAATATCTCTCCATGGGTTTGTTCTTATGTCCATATTAACATATATCATCCATTCTTTTGTCCAAGTAAATGGTACTTCATTACTTAGTATAGTTTTTTTTAAATTTACAGTTATTATAGAAAGGTAAATAGCTACCTTTCCACGCTTAACTTCCTTTTCACTTATAAAGTGACGTCATAGCTAAAAACTGAATTTCTTTTTTTTTTAATTGTAGTTATAGATGGGTAACATGCCTTTATTTTTTATTTTATTTTTATGCGGTGCTGAGGATTGAACCCAGTGCCTCACACATGCGAGGCAAGCACTCTGCCACTGAGCTACAGCCCCAGCCCTAAAAACTGAATTTCTATAAGATGACTGATAAACTTTGAAAAATAGGCACATTCAGAGATTTAGATCGTAAAAGCCCACAACTTCTCAACTTATATATAATACACAAAGTTATTTTTAAACTACAAATACAAATTTATTGTATATTAGCTTTCCAAAATATAAAGTTCGCTTTTACTCTTTGGTGAAGTGATTCTTTCTCTTAAAAAAATTACAGTCCTCAGAGCTTATAAGTATAGATGGAATGACAAAATTAGATATTCACCATTTTGGAACCCACTGAGTCAGGTAAAATCATCATGAATCTTAAAAATCCCAAAGCATCATTTCACTGATTATTTGCTAATAAGCAGGTTGTTTCTAAAATATTTAGATAGTTAGTGTTACCACCTTAACCAAATGCATACAATTAACTTCACTAATGGTGATAACATTTGGCTTTTGCTGAGATGCAACATAAAGTCAGAGTATCACCTATGAAGTACTATTGCCATAATGTCTAGCCAGAATTGAACTATACCTCTGGATCAAAATCCCACTTTATAGAAAATGCATAAAATACGAGAGTAAGTTAAATATCGCCATAAGGAAACACATGGGTAAATCCTGGCTTATCTTCATCAAGATATTAATGTCATGAAAGAAAAAAAGGGATTATTCTAAATTGAGAGAGACTAAAAACACAGAACAAAACAAATGCAGCTTGAAAACCTTGATTCACTCCCCCTCACCCATGGGAAATAATCAGGAAGATTTTACATGATAAAGAAGTGAAGCAGTGAAGCATGAACTGTCATGATGCCTGCAACTTACTGCCAATGTCTCAGAAAATACAAATACATATGCACATACATAGACAGACCCAGATGTGCTAAAAAGTAATCTGATGATTTAAGATAGTCCTAGTCTCCCAACTTCTCAATAAACTTTTAAAAAATTACAAAATAAAAAGTGATTTTTTTGCATATATGTTCAACATTTACAATACCTGGTTCTTGAATGACATCTACTTTCCCCACACTGATTTGAAGTGTTTCACCATTCTTTGCAAAAGTCTCCCATTCAGAATCAGTCTGCTGGCAGGATGGACACCATGGGGCATAACTAGAAGAGAAGAATAGTTAATTAGCACAAATATATGGAAAAAATTATAAGAAAAAAATAGAGGAATAGAATATTTAAATGAAAAAATAAATTCTAAACTAAAGAGAAGTGTAAAAATCAAGCTTTTCCAAAGTCCTTTAAAATAGAAGAAGAGAAGCATATTTTCCCTCTAGAATTTAATACATGAATATCAATTCTATTGGAAAAGGATGAATGCACTTTGAGTGCCCCACTAAAGGAAAGTAATTTTCACAAGGTTACCCCTATGACAAACCAGTTTCAGATCCATCAAAACTGTAGATCTACTAGGGAGAGGCCAGAAGTTTTGTCATTAGTGGGTCCTCAAGCATGTTTCCAAACATCTGAATATCTGTGTTGTGAATCATTCCAAGAAGCAAAGGAAAAGTTCTATACAGCACTTTTTTTAAATTGAAAAAAGAGTTAAAAATACTTGGGCCTTCAAGCAGAAATCCCACTTTATATATATATATATATATATATTTCTTATTCAATAAAAAATATTAATTTACATTTAATGTTTACATAAAAAAAACATTAAGCACTCTACTAAAAGCTGAGGTCACAACAGTAAATGGGATAGATGTGGTGTCTCCTTTCCTTGTGGCTTGTATTATACAGGGGTGAAGATGGGTAAATACAACCCAAGTGACAAATGCTGATTGAGAATGCTGAACAGATGCTATAGTGACATTAAGGAGCTTAGGTACCTCAGAAAGAGCCACTAAGAAAGATTTAAAACAAGAATACCATCAGGGAGGGGACAAAGAATGTTCAACCCTTAGCAGAGAAAAACAATACAGAGCCCTGAGACAATACATTAGTGGCTTCATCTTGCCCTCCCATGTCTGGAAAACACCATAAAGATACATACTACAAAGCTCTAAATTTTTTTCAGGGTTTAATCTGCAATTGTTAAGATGAGAATCCAGAGAAGTTTGCTGCTCAGAAAGTGTTGTCAGTTGAATAATATTCCCCAAAAAGACATGTCCAAGTGCTGGCCCTGGTAATCATGAATATGACCTTACTTTAAGTAGGAGTCTGTGTACATATAATTAAAGATCCCAAGATGAGATCATTCTGATTTAAGATGGGCTCTAAATCCAATAACAGTTGTTTGAAGAGGAAGAACAGGGAGCTTTGATAAAGATAAATAAGCAGAAGACCATGTGAAGATGGAGGCATAGAAATGAGTAATATAGCTACAAGCCAAGGAACACTCAGGGATGCCAGCAGCCACCTCATACAGGCACCAAAGGGACACTCCTACAGAGCCTACAGGGGCCCCCAGCCCTGCTGCATGCTGGCCTTTGAAATTTGACCTTCAGAAAGGTGAGAAAATAAATTTCTGTTGTTTAAAATCACCCCGTCTGTAATTTGTGATAGCAGATCAAAGAAACTAATACAGAAAGGAAGATATCCTTTGAAATTAGAAGGAGTTAGATCAAACAAGCTGTATAGAGACTTAACAAAGCTTGCAGGATTATGCTTAATATAAAATATTGTGAACAAACAATACCATATGCTTGAAATACATTCAAAATACTATCATGACAAAATTAAAAGGAAAATTAACATTTTCAGAATAATGGCACAAAAATACATTGGAACAATTGGAGAAACATTTGGTTTTGCCAAATAGTTCCCAGAACAATAGAAAATAAAATATTTAGTGCTCACAAAATAGAACAGGATACTCCAGGCAAAAATAAATAAATCATTGGGCACATTTTAAGTAACATTTCAGGATGCCACCAACTAAACATATTTTTTTAATCTACTCAAACTTTTGAAAAAATCTTTAATGCATGTCAAAATATTGAGGAAATAAATGAAATAGACATAAGAAAGAATTGCTATCCCTAGATTGATCACATGTAATGAGTCTCACAGTATAAAAATTATACCACCAAAGGATAATGGACAGAAAGTACAGATGAAACAAGTCTGACAAGGTATTGATAACTGCTAAACCTGAATGATGGGTAAAATGAGGATTTACTACACAACTTCTATTTTTGTGTAGTAAGATTTTTTAATAATATTTTTTAAAAGACTTGATTGAAGAGATAACCAAGTTTTTGGTGAACATTATAAAATGCTCAATTTATTTTTTATGTTTTCAATTCCAGAATTGTTTTTACAAAATCGTTTTCACAAAAATTATTTCTGCATTAAGAGGGAAGAGGCAGGGGAGAAAAAGAAGTAGGAAAAAAATGCCTGCCAAAAACACAAACACATACACCAAGTCCTAGGAAAGGAAACACAGTAAAGGGGAAAGGTAGTAAATTGATCGAATTTTTAAATAAGGTTTAGGGTTAAAGGGATGTCAGATCACCTGTGCAAGCAAGTCTTTTTAAAATCTTGAACTGTGCAAAATTCCATTCAAACAACCATAGCAATTATATACATGCACTTTGCAGAACAACAACAAAGTAAGAAAAAAAAAACTGCAATCAGGAAAAATTTTAATATTTCACATTATAAAAAGGTAGGGTGAAGATGTTAAAAAGCCAAGACTAGGGGAAAGGATACATTTATTTTAGGTAAAATACTGGAAATTAAGCAGAAATCAGAAGAAACAGGATGCCCAAACCTCTATCCAATCAGGCCCCAGAAGCAGCAAGACTAGTAAAACTCCCTAATGACATCTCTAGAAAAGACTATTCTAGCTAATCCAAAGATTGCTCTAAAAGATCATTAGTCTTCCCATTTCAGAAGATCTAGAAGACATGGGCTAGAGAACATTCCTGTAACATTTTTTAATATGGATTTTTTTTTTAAATTTTATCTCTATATTTCCAGGGCAAAGTATATTCCCGCTACACAGTAAGTGGTCTAGAAATGTATGCTGGATAAGCAAATGTATAAACTTCAGTAAAAATTTCATTTTCATTCTTCATAGAAAAAAACAGTTATTTTCTTTATAACTTCTAAATATCCAAAAGGCAGATGAGTCTTAGGCAGTTGGCAAACTTTAAAGAAAAAGGAACACTAAATCATTCAGAATATTTCAATAGGCATTTCAGGATTTTGAATAAGAGCTCTGCTACAGGAATCAGATCAACCATGAATTACCCATGTGATTTTGGGCAGGTTAATAATCTTTCCATGCTTAAGCTTCCTCAACTATAAAATGAGATAGTAACAGGAGCTACCTTATAAGGTTATTGGAAGATTAAATGATACATACAAAGCAAGCACGAAGTAAGAATGATCATTAACACAAACTACATTTGCAATACTCTGCTAGGTTTCCAAGACACTTTTATGATACCTCACCTCAGCTCATCTGAACTTCATATCCTTGCTGACAAAGAGAGAAAGCAGGTTTAGAGAGACTTGCTTAAGTCTTAAGACCACTTAAAGCAAGAACATAGATGGAGGTATCTGTGATTAAAAAAAATCTTCAAGATACAACAACAAAAAGACAACATCAACACCAACATTCAGAGGGAAAGAGGTAGGAGGCATAAGAAAGAATGCACAAAAATAAGGAAAAACTCTTGAAGGACAATTTAATGGATTTTAGATATTCTCTGCTCAATTTCTCTAGGACTCTGTCTTTGCGTACATGTGCTACATTACTAATTATTAAACCTTGCAAATTTCACAAGTTTTAAAAAATCAAGCCCTTAGTCTCTAGATTGTTATGTAAATTAGATTTTTGGTGAAATTCGGATATGCAATTATGATATACCATCAGATAAGCCATTGAAGTAATTTTAGTTATTCCATTTTCTATGTTGCTGCTACCACTGGGCTATGGATTGTCAAAGCCATTATTTCTGATATTTAGTCAGAGCTGGTTGTGATGAAATACACCAACATGTTCCTTCAATTGTGGAGATAAGCCAGCTCTGGGTTAAGTAGGAGAACTGACCCATTGTTGCCACAGCTTTTAAAATTATGTGTACTCCTGTATTCTTTTGTATATAAGGGATAATAATTTAAACAAGAATTTAAAACCTATTATAAATAAAATATTGACAGGGGTAAAATGAATGCATAGATATGCCATGTGATCTTTGCGTTTCTCTCTGCCCCCCACATATACATATATATAATTTATTTATGTACATGTGCATGTAAGCATAAATAAAACTCCTTGGAAAGAACCAAACATGGTCTTTCTTTACATTGTTTAAAACAAGGAGACAGGCACAGTGGTAGATATCTGTAATCAAAAATTCAAACCATCCTGGGAAAATTTGTCTTAAAATTTAAAAAATTATTAAAAGGCTGGGGACACAGATCAGTGTATAGAGGGCTTGCCTACCATTTTCTAGTCCCTGAGTTCCATTCCCAATACTGAAAAGTAGCAGTCTTTTCTTAAGAACTATAAAAAAATCTTATCTGCCAGTAAGTGTGTCCTTTACACATAACATAATCCTCTTTGATTTCAGAGTCTCTATGGGGAATTAGTATACCATTGTACTCCTGGAAACTAGGTCAACATATTTTCTATTAAAACATTTTGCAAGTCACAGTGATATGTAAAATTACAAAGCTTCATAAAGACATCTGAAATATATTTCAGATAACCAAAATGCTGTTAAATTACATAACTTGGATATAAGTTTAATGTTTTTAATCATTTCTGGGCACACCATTGTTATCTATGGTAGTATTCATATACAAAGTACACTGAGGTTCTGCTAGATGCACGGTGATGATTCGTTTATTGTATGAAGTCACCAAATTCAATTTCATTAGGTGTACTAAACATTTCAGAGGGAGGACTTAGTTAAATTTATTTTATGGAATTTTTATTAAAAATAAGTTTTTATTCACCAATAATGGACAATTTTTCTTCTGTCTTCACTCCAATCTCACTAGTATTTCATACTACATTCATAGAAGTGAGAAGGACAATGAGACATGCAAACATTTGCTAAATGAAATGAATGTAACTTATGCTATTTATTTCCTTCAGAGCATTATAAAATGCCAGTCCCTTAAAATCAAGGTTGTAGCTCATTCATCTCCATCTTCCCAAGTCTTCAACCCTGTAACGACGAATCTACAACAAGAATTTAAGCAACTACCTCTTTAACAGTCAATCAATAAAATCAAGACAATCTATAAACTGCAGGAAATGACAACTACTTGACACAGATAAGTTGGGAAAATAATGTTCAATACACCCTCTAGGCATGAGAAGAATACTAGAAAGAAAATTCCAAAATCTAGAGGTCCTAAGCAAATAAATGAGGCTTTACTCCATACCAAGTATCTAATCTGTTTTGAAACATGAGCAGCCCAAGAACAAGGTCAGAAAAAGTATTTTATAAAAATCAACCTGATCTGATTTACAGAAGTAATGTAATTTAACTCAAATATTTTTATCTTTTTTCATTGCATTTTGGTTTAACGATATGCACGTCAAAAATAAGCTACTTGGATATCTGCTTGTTTATCTGCTTTGTTTAGATACCAAAACAGTATACAGAGTGTATCATATTACATACTCTTGTGTTTCAAAAGAATAAAAGCGGTATTCTCAAGGACTGACATAATGGAAGCCAAGCAAGTATTTAAAACAGCAAAAGGTTGCAAAGCAACGGAATGGAACACAACATAAAAAAGAAAAGGAAACATGGGAAGATCTTAAAAAAAAAAAAAAGCACAGCAAGCCAGTTGTAGTGCTGTGGCAGAAATGGATGAAATGTTATAAAATGATTATATGAAAGCAAACAAAAGAGAAAACAGAGAATACAGTAAGCCCTTAGCATTAAAGAAAATATAAGCAGTAATAAAATTCTTTTGCTGATTTGTAAAAAAGTTTCAGAATAGAAATGAATTACTGCAAATATATTCTTATCTGATAATTTCTCTTTAACACAGCACTGCTTTTCTAAAACTGGAAATTCAGCTACATGTATCCCCAAAATTGACTGTTTGAAAGACACAGAAAATATAACAAATTGAATTTTGTATTTGGATCTCTTCATGTCTCAGAGCCAGGCAAACACTGGTAAAACTAAATGAAATTAACAGCACAAATATAACCATAAATTGCATTACAGAGGCTTTATATGACATGAGATATAGAACAGCAGATTCCCAGAAGAAAAGTTCCCTATAAGCAAATGAATAAAGAACTGTCATTCAAAGTGATGTTAGATTCTCAAACTTTTTTCTTTTCTTAAATTTTTTTAGATGTTGATGAATCTTTATTTTATTCATTTATTTATATATGGTGCTGAGAATCCAACACAGTGCCTCACACATGCGAGGCAAGTGCTCTAACACTAAGCAACAACCCTACCCCCCTTATCAAACATTTAATACCATGAGAAAGTTTCCCAACATTTCTTCTTTAGGTAGTTCAACACATCATCAGCAGACTCTAGTTACCTCCAATTATAAAACCAGTTCACTTGAGCACAATGTTGATCTGGGAAGTATCATAAACATATTTTGTTTTTCTCTAATGAGAAAAAAAAACCTGATAATATTTGAATCCCTAGAATGTCATAGGCCTATAGTGGTATCAGTAATATAATGAATCTTAAATTTTTATACTGTTGGATTTTTTTCAAAGGGAAGAGAGGGAGTATCATCTAATAATACAGAAAAATAAATAAAAAATAGACAAGAACCATTGTATTTATTCAGAGGAAACATTTCTGAAGAAGTTCTGGTATGCAGAAATTGGAATGTAATTTGGGTGAATCCTTTCCTTTCCTGTCATTTCCTATCCACTAATTCTGCAGAATACTCCATGTAAAGAGAACTCCTACTAAAATGATCTCAATATGTACACAGCTTACTTCCGGGTTACAAGCTTCTTTTTGCATCACAGTCCAAGCTTACACCAGACAACTGGACAAATGGCAAGCTTATCGCAAATGATCTCTCCCATTTAGGCTTATACATTTATAAAAAGGTACAATGTGAACCATCAACATAACCAAACACAAGAGTTATTGGCTGTCACTCATTTTTAGAAACTTAGTGGGGCTTCAACTCATCATTGATTTAGTGTTCTTAGTTCTCTGACTTACCAAAAAAAAAAAAAAAAAAAGAAACCATAAAACACAAAGGAGCTGAGGAGTTGGCAACATTAAATATGAGGGTTTTCTTCTTTGACTGTTATCACCTACATACACAAACTGTTTTAATCAGAAAATTAACATCCAGGAAAAGAACGTGGTGTAAAAATCTACTAGAAAAAAAAAAAGACTTTTCTGTAGTATTAGCTGGCAAAATGCAGTTTCTCTAAAGTTCTTATAGTTATTTGAGGGAAATATGGCATTCCTAACATAAAGCTCCACTTAGTTTAAAAGTTTCTCTTAAATATGATTTCCTCACTTCCTTCCAAAGTAGTTGAGCGGTTTACTTTAATAAGTTATTTCTTTCTTCCAACAGTTTTACTGATTTATTATGATAACAAGGGCATTTGTTTTGAGTTCTAAATATTCCCTTTTTTGTAACCAAAAGCTAAATGCAAATTTGAAGAGAGAGTATGCATTATGTTCTTTGAGCAATGTAATTTGTTAAGTGACAACTTCGTCAATTATCTCAACACTGTTTTTACTCTATTAGGCATCTGCTTGCAATCTAAATTGCAGTCTAAAGAATCAAAATTTGGTCTTGGATAAAGACAGTTCCAATTTTGGGTCTTTTGTGCTGAGTGAAAAATTAATTATCAACTATTAGGAAATATATATACACATATATGGCCTGAAACCACAGGCTACAGAGATGTGGTCTCAGCCATTATTTCTCCAGAACTTCATTTTCCCTAAAAGCCCATCATGATGGTCTCTCAAGTCTATTCAAACAACTGTCCTCTGTCAACTTCAAGTCTTCTTTCAAATGATCACTCCCTTACTATTCAGAGTTAACTGAAAGCTACAACCAACAAATCCCCTGCCTTCTCCTAACTAAAAAACAGTTGCCCATCCCTTTCAAGCAAAAGCACTGAAAATATTTTATCTTCTGTTGTTAAAAGGAACAATTTGTTAATAACCTATTCTTTATAAAGTCAGCACAATTAAATTATTAAATCCACCTAAGAGTCCGACCTCTAAAAATTATATAGTATCAGCATTTATTTGTAATCCTGTTTTAAAACTAAAATGCACGCATGTTAATGTTTTATTCTCACAATGACATCTCAAGGTCTTCAAAAGAAAAACTAAGACATTCGTACAAAGTGATTTCCCTTCTCCATTCTGCTGTAACTTATTCAACACAAATGTCACCTATACTTTCCTCCGTATTCATACTGTACATGATGTCACTGAATGACTGCCAATTATCCCGTACTCGCTCCTGTGAGGGCACGGTTTTCATGCAGATTTCCTCCCCTCCACCCTCTTTCCCTTGGTAAGCTGCATTCTCTCTCCCTGAAACAATCTCCCCTAAAGCAAGTGAGAAAAGTGTGGGGATGCTCTTCACCCCTAGCCGTCAGCGCGGAGGGTCGTGCGCGCATGCGCAAAGGAGGTCGGGGGACCCCGCGCCGCGGGTCGCTGGCAGGGTGGGTACCCGGCCCTAGGTCTAGCCAAGTCGGACCACTCTACGAGCCGACCACGCGGGCTGCGGGAAGGTGGCGCCCGCGAGGATAACGTGGCGAGCGGGGCAGGCGGGCACACTCACAATTTCAGCATCCACTCGCCTTCCATCACCAGTGTCCAGTTGGAGGCGGTCATGGGCTGGACTCGGCTTTGCTCCGCCGGCAACACGGCCTGCTCGGGGCCCTCGGTCGCCGCCAATGCCACAACCGAGGCGGCCAGAAGCGTCGTCAGCAGTGGGCCGCAGCGCCCGCCCGCCATGTTGGGCGCGGAGCGACACTCCCCAGCAGGGAGTGTAGGCCAAGGAAACTACAGGGCCAAGGCCTGGTCGCCTGCCCGCCTGGCGGGGCCTTGCCAGGTAGTCAGAGGAGATGCCCAGCGGCCCCGCCTCCGCCTGGCAGTGTGTACAGACCCCGCTCGCGACGCCGGCGGGCGGCCGGCACCGCCTCTTATCGGCCTGCGTCCGCCGAGGCCACGCCCCCTCCTGCCTCGCCTTGCCGTTGCCCGGGGTGTTGGTTGCCATGGCAACAGCCGCCCTTTCTCCCTGACTGCCACTCTGAAAATAAACAGATGACCCAACGTTGTTTAAGTTAGTGCCAGCACCGCTCAGGCCCCTGGTATAGCGGGTTGGAGCGCGTGCGTTTCTCTAAAAAGAAAAGTGGCCGGTCATTTAAAATCCATGCTCTTTAAAATAGCAGCAGGGGGCTGTGGAGTAATCTTAAGGTCACTGAAAATTGGAGGGACATGTGGGCTGGCTTCTCGCTGAAAAATTTAAGTGCTTTCTGCATGTATACATTGAAGCATCACCGCGTAATTGGAGATGATGACGAAACTAGACGATTCGATTTTATATAATTTTTACTAAAATATTTTAATTTTATTGAAAATTAAAACTTGAGCACTGACAGATGGTTGCATCAGTTAATAAGAATATGGCCATTGGCATCGCAATGAACTTCACCTTTCTCTCAGCTATAGTTTTGTTAGTGTCTTAAAATAAAAGTAGTCTTCAAGTTCAAAAGCCAACCTCAGAAACTTAGCAAGGCCCTAAACAACTTAGGGAGAGTATCAAAATAAAAATAAAAAGGGCTAACAATGTGTCTCAGTGGTAAAGTGCCTCTGGATTCAAATCCCTGTGCTAAAAATAAGCAAATAATTAATTAATTTTAAAAATAAAATAAGCTGTGGTCTTAAATGATTTCCAAATCTCTTTGCAGATATACATTAGATGAATCTGTGGGACCACCACACCCTGAGTATGTAAGACTGGTTACAATTAAAGCGTGGGTGAGTGATTTCAAAGTTGCTTTATAAGCATTTACTAGGTGTACAAAGCATGAAACAGTAGAGTAGTTACTAGATCTTGAAAAAAAACGTGGTTGCTTAGACACACTAAGAGTACTTCAAGCACCTGCAATCACTCTCCAATTAGTAATATAAGTAAGAAAGATGAGTTTTACTTGCAAAAAAGAGCTTGTCTGAATTAGATGTTAATTCGTATTAGATAAAACCTATGTAGACACAGCTCTTATCATCAAAATATAACCCTAAAGAATTTACAAACTATTGTAAATTAGAAAAATGTCTTTGCAATGAATGTTACTAAGACTGTTATACATCAATCCTACAGTCAATAGAAAATAGTTTATTGTGTTAACAAGAGGGAGAAATCATCTCAGGCACAAAAGAAACTCACTGCTGGAGCACTTCCTATCTCAACTACAAACTGTGTGTTCAGGAATTGCATTTCTTGGCCTTCAGATGAAGGAGGACAGAGAAGACTGGTAGGAAACAAGATAGCAGGAATGTGTGTAAAAGACTTTGTCTTGAGGAGGCATAGAGCAGCCTAAAAGGAAGCAGCTGCTGTCAGACTGTGACAGCCTTTCAGTTCTGATACTTCCTAGCCATGTGATTGTGGCTTGTACCAAACTTCAACTTACATGAAAATAATGATAGAACCTGCTTTAAAAGGTGGCTACGAAGATAATAAAAGTATAATGCCTAAGACATGGTATAATCCAGAAGAGGTTATTATTATTTGGAGTCAATAATACCCTATAATACTTTTGAGGCCTTCTAATTTTCCCGAAGTACTGTCCTTCACATTCAGCTTCATTTGCACCTGCTTACATTCTACTGCCAAGGTCTCGGCTTGGCACAGAATCACGAGCCACCACACACCTTGTTCCCGAACTCACACCGGCCTCTACACAAACAGGTTCTGGGGCAATCCAAAATCTGCCCTCACAATTCACCTACTCCACGAGGCTTTTTCCAAATCCCATTTGAATCTCACAAGAACTCAACAGGAACAAGCAGCAGGAACACCCTAATCCCAGCAGCAATAATCTTCAACCTCCAACTTCCCTAAAACCCCTATTGTCTTAAACCGAGAACTCAAGGAGCGGGAAACTTCCTCAAACCTGATCAGCTCTAAACCCGGATCCGCCCTGGTCTTTGAGCAAGGTCACCTTACAAAAGCATACATGCAATGTCCCATGGAATGTCCTCTAAGCAGCATGGGGTATGCTGGCAAGGAGATTTTGATGCGTCATTCCTACTTGGCAATGGCCCTCAGCATTCTACCATTCTCCAATCTCCCTCAATTATGTGCAAGGATGGCCTCCCACAATCTCCCTTGCTCCAGTAACACAAAACTACCCTCCTTTCCCAAAGCACACTGGTACTTTGATGCCTCCTTGCATCTTTATTCTGCTTAAACACTCCCTAGTTGCCTAGTGAGGCATTATTTAACCTCTGTCGTGTAGCTCACAGTGTTCCTCCAATAGACCATGCAAAATGTGCTGCTATCTCCTTTCAGATCCAGTAACACTTATGTGTAACTCTACCACACCCCTTTTAGATTCAACACATTTACACTTAGTTATCACTCTCTCACCTCAGTTCTCCAATCCATACTAGGTACTCTTCAAAGTTAAGGGTCTTACCTTAGGCAACTTTGTATCTCCAAAATAGCAGAATTCACTCCTCATAGCAGTACTTGGGGTAAACAATTTTTGACACAGGCCCAAAGATCTTCATCTCTTGGTGTTCAGGCCCTTGTGTAATTCTCTCTTCTTGAGTGTGGACTGGGCCCAGCAACTCATTTTGAGTTAGCAGAATATGATGAAAGTGGTGGCATTGCTCTTCTATTACAAGCTTACAAAATATCAGATCTTCCTTCTTGCTCAGACTCCCCGCTTGCTTGCTCACTCCAAGACACTGTATAGAGAACTTCAAGTGACAAGAAACTAAGGGAAGTCTCTAGCCAATATCTCATGAGGAACTGAGGCCTCAGTCCAACACTCAGCCAAAACCAGAAACTTGGGAATAACCATGTGAGTAACCCACAAGTGAATCTTTCCCCAGTACACTTGAGATACATGGGCCTGATGAGTGACCCAAAGCCAGAAGACAAGAGTTTAGCAGAGCACTGTACCCACAGAAACTGTGACATAATAAATATTGGTGTTTTAATCCATAAAGATTTACGATAATTTGCCATGTACATGATTTTCATATGTGAAATATTGCTTTACATTTTAATGAAGAGTGGTATCTGGTACTAGGAGAAAGCGATTCGGTCCCCAGAGTAAGTTTGTAATGGTCGTATTGTGGGGCACTTATGGTTACACAAAAATACATGATTCCTACTAAGAAAAGGAATCTCTTGTACTTTTCCTCCTCTAAGTTGATTTTATAGGGTATTTTGGTCACAGTGATGAGAAGGTAACACACTTCACAAAGGCAAGAAATATTCATTATGATAACCTATTCAACTTAGCTGTTACTACATAACCAACCAACCCAAAACTCATCTCTATGGTTCCAGGGATTGATGATGATGATGATGATGATGATGATGATGATGATGATGAGTGTGTGTTCATGTGGTGGCAGATGTTTGCAGCTAAGGCCAGAGTCAAAATCTTTTCATTCATAACTGGCATTTGATACAGGATTGGTGGGATAACAAGAGACTGATCAGACATCTCTCTTATCCTACATCCTCTCCCTGTGGGTATCTCGGACTTCCTTACAGCTTGGCACTTTGGGAGTGTCCTCCTTAAGACCTCTACAGCAAAAGCTCCCGTATACAACTAGAAGTTGCACTACTTCTTAACCTCAACTCAAAGATGTGAAAATGTCACCTGTACCATATTCCAGTGGTCAAACAAAGCACCAAAGGCTAGCCTAATGGAGAGAAGAGGAATTGGATTTTACCACTTAACAAGAAACAGCAAAATAAATTTTGACCCCCTTTTTGGTATTTACTTATATATTTATTTGTACCAGGGATTGAACCCAGGAGCACTTAACCACTGAGTCATATCACAAGCCCTTTTTTATTTTGAGACAGGATCTCACTAAGTTGCTTAGGGTTTCCCTAAGTTGCTGAGTCTGGCTTTGAACTTACAATCTTCCTGCCTCAGCCTCCTGAGCCATTGGAATTATAGGCATGCATCATCACACCCAGCAATTGTGACCATTTTTAATCTACAAAAAAGTAAAAAATTTGGAAATGTTTATAATTGAAGCACAATTTATGCAATTCTGATCAACCATCTGTCTTCCTTTGATGACTTATTCTGTAGTAGGTTGGGTGTTTTGAGGGAAAAGACGGTGGTGGTATTTCTACAAAACAGAATGGGAACTCCCTCTCCCCTTTTAACTTTTGTGGGTAGGTGCCTGTGAGATACTGATTTGTGAAAAATTATGAGAATGATTTTTAAGCCTGCTACAGACAAATGGTTTGACGATGTGATATTTAAGTACCCTTAGAAGGTCATAAAATTTTGGTTAAACACATTCCAAAAGATTTTTAAAATGAGAATATTTGTATAAACAAACCTGTAAAAATCTGATAACTATCTGTATTCTGAGACTTTTTTGCTTGAATAATGAGTGTAGAAAAATAATTTTCAAGAGAGATAAAATCTTATGTTCTAATGGTACCAAGTTTTAATACAGAGTTACCAATCAAAGACTTCAATAAAACTGGTGACTTGGAACTTGATATTAGTCAGATAATCAATAAAAGGTAAGGAGATTGCATTCATATTACAAAAATCTAAAATTGTAAGTTATAGAAATAATGATATGCAATGGTTTTCCTGTTGAGAATGGTGAAACTGGTATGGAAATATTAAATAAGCTAAGCAATGCTGTAAAATTAGTCTATAAAGTAATGAGAGTACAGGAATTTAATTACACAAACAGATTTGCTAAATGCCTTACAGGAACAAGAGGTGGAAGGAGAATTTAAATAGGACACAGTAATATGTCCTAGAACAGATGGCAGAAGAAACCATGAAGGATGGAAATAAGCTGAAGTGTATGCAGACTAGTGACTAGAAACAAATCCAGAAGGAGACTCAATAAGTCTCTAAGAAAGAAGCTTTGGGCCATGTCTTGATGAAAGAAAATCAACGAAGTTTCTACAGAACATTATTTATTTATTTGCTAATA